CCTTTTTTCAAAAAGTTATGCATTTTTGACGTTTTTTCTTCAAAGCCTAAAAAGCTCAATTTTTTAGTTCGGTCTAAGCTGTTGTTTATTAATGATGATGTAATAGAAAAAACAAAAATGGATAATAGTAAACGAAATGAGACACCATTTAAGACATAAAGTACTAGCGAATCTTTATGTTCCATGTTGTACACTGAAAATAAATATCTAAATGACATACAGCAATGGGTCCATGATGGAGTAAAAAACAGAGAGAAGTATTTTTCAGTTTCATAAACTATTCACCCCTTTTCTGTACATTCAAAATTTTTCTTATACATAATCTGATAGAAGAAAGTGTTTTCTTCACAATGAGACGTTTTCCAAAATTTTCCGATGAGTTTTCGTGGAGATATAAGCAGCACAGAAATGCCGTGAAAAAAGTAGCCTGTGTACAAAATGCGTTTTATCTCGAAAACTAATTTTTTGCTACCAGGCTTCATTGGACCACATTACGACGCCCCCCCCCCCTTAAATTGCATCCAATCAAACCGAAAATTTTACCAGAGGTACTCAAGACACTATTGCAGAAGTATTCTTTTGGATTTTTTTATTTTAGACATTTCTTTGCCGAGTTATAGGGTTTCTAAAATTGAAAAACTTGGTTTTGAGACGTTTTTCAGTATTTTTCCTATAACTTGACCAGGAAAGATGTTTAAAAAATTTCCCAAAAATCTACCTCTACGCTATGACTTTGAGTACCTCTGGTAAAATTTTGAACTCGGTCGGATGAAATTTAAGGGGATCGTAATGTGGTCCAATGAAAAACAGAGTTTTCAGGAAAACTGGTGAACGGCAACAGTTAAAAACTTGAAACAAAAACGAAAACGTACTCCATTGAGTTATCAATCAGTTCTGAAAATATAAAGTCTTAGTGAGTTTTAATTTTTATTTCACAGCATTTCTACGGAACGCTCAAAAAGAGGAGAGGGGTACCCTTAATATTTTTACTTGTCTTTCCAAGAATACTTCGATAAATCTATCGTTATATTTTTTATTATCGAGTGTATATTTCAGCTGTGCAAGATGGAATTTTAAAATCTGTTTTTCAAAAACGTAAAAGTGATTTTTAAAAAGTCATATGCGCCTATTACCTAAAACGTTTTTTAAGAATATCTGAGTTTTATAATACTCACTTGCAGTTTTGTTTCGGTGTATTTTCCTCAGCTCCTTTCATTCTTAATGAGACTTATTCAAAAATTTAGATATAGTAAGATAATTCATATTACTAAACAATAGAAACATTAGGTCTTTTATCTACTGCCAGATTTAAGGTAATTGTATAATACGAGAATTTTGGCCACTTATTAATAGAATCTCTAGAAACGGGGAAAATAATTATCGAAGGTTAAACGAAAATAAATGTTATGTCAAATTAATTGAGAAAAAATCATATTGTTTCAAATTATTAGATACACCAGGATGCTTCTCATCCTATGTCGACGTAGTAAAATTTGTTTACATTTCTTAAACATTAAATTGCAGATGAAGTTGGTTACAAGTGTTTCGATGTTAAATAAATTATTATTCAAGAAGTTATAATAACCACTGCATCGTTCTACGAAGAGGAAAAACAGTGACAGTATCAGGCAGATCAAATTTTTGACGGAATGATTAACAATATAAACATGAAAATTATTTGAAATGTCAATCAGATCGAATATTTATTTTAGAGCATCTTAAGACAGGAATTAGATGCTGTATCTTTCGTCTAAAAGATGCCATGTTTCTTGTTTGTTTTGTTTTAGAGAATGAAAAACTTTTGTCTAGTGAAATACGCTATCACGAATTAGAAAAGGACATTTTTTGTGAAACTCATCGAAACTTTTTCGATTTTTTCATATACCGGAGTCCCGTTGCAGTCCTCTCCGATTCTGAACGAGAACGGTAGACGCACATCTGTCTAGAAGTAGTTAGAAACTTTGGTCTGGCGTCATTCGACGCAGCTCACCAAACTCTTACTTACGATATAAAAATGAAGATTTTCGGTTCAAGACTCGGGTATCCAAAAAGATTTTTCGGTGGGTAACGCTTTGACAGAAAAGATGTCTATTTTTTGAGAATTGGTGATACAGCTCTGATTTCCTGCGAATTGACCTCTGTATCTGAAAAATTTCTAGCGACAAGTTTGTAGAAAGAGCTAACGAGCTTTCTTCTGGTAAAAAAACTTTTTTTCAAACTCTGGCGCACGTCTAGAAACGTCGATTTTGTAAAGTAACGCTGTGACACACTTTTTAGGCACTAAACGTTGTTCAAAAAACTTCATACTTATAGTCTTTGTAGTCCTAGGTTTCCTGAAAAGACTCCAGTTGAAAATAAAATTCGGAAAATTCTTTGAGGCTTTCGGACCAAGGCGGAAGTTGAAACGTTCAAGTAGCCACTGTATCTCGACTGAAAAATAAATCTCAAAACAAAATGAGTCATTTTGTAGAGAATTGAATTCTCTATTCCATGGTATGCTTTTAAAAATTTTTGAACAAAATGTGTAGGTCAGAAACTTGAAATTAAAGCCTTTAAAAATTTAAAATTTTTATATTGAAAATTAATTTTTCTTCAAAAAAAAAAGTCAGATTCGAAATCGGTATTTTAAGCTACGTCTAGTGATGTACCCCTATCGATTTTCTGATGGAAACAATTCAAAAAAAACTTGATCAGCGAAGTGTCGCATTACGTGGACAAGCCGTATAGTTTTAATGCAACTGTCTCATATGCCAAAATTTCATCTGTAGGCTAAACGAAATTTTTGCTATATTAAACTCGTTCGATCAAAAACTGCATCTTTTCAACTAATCAGCTATATTGAATAAAGATTTTCGGGATCGTGTCGATCCGTCGTTCTTTCTGTCGACTGGTATCTTTCTATAGGAGCAGAAAAAAACGTACATCGATGAATTGTAGACACACAAGAATATAAACAGAGCGCTAATAATATCGTGGCAATAGAAAGTACATTCAGATTTTATATAAAAAACAGAAAAATAGTAAAGAAGGGCAGCAAACAAAAGGTTCATTTTCACCAATGAAAGTAGTTACAATCTTATTTCTATACAAAAATGTATATAACTTTTCGCTTTCGGCTTGGCTATGCTGTTTTTGATATCTATCGGGATAAATTCCTACAGCAAAGGACATTCCATCACCATCGCCAGTACGACTCACGGCATCCCTACTATTTATAACAAAAATCTCAATTTTGCCATAATTCTCTGATCACTGTTTTTATATTTGAAATGATTGATGATGATCGTTATTTTTAATAAGTTTATTGTAGATAAAATGATATTATTAGAATTAATTTTGAAAAAAGTAAATGATTTGCCGAAAGGTTTAGATAAAAAAAGTCTTGAATGAATTTTGTACATATTTTTTGAAAATCATTAATGAAAACAATACAGAAAACGATGATCAATATCGACAATAATTCCATAACAAGGTAACTAAAATAATAAATAAACAATTCATACAACAACAACAAAAACAAAATTTAATTATGATCCAATCAAAAATGAATTGATACAAACGTTATCTACCTTTGAATAACAATAATTAGGACTTTATGATAATGAAACGATTGAAATTTTGTTATCAGTATTTGAACAACTAAAAAATGATATTATTAAACTGTTTGATCAATTATCTAGTGGAATGGCTGATATAAAAAATTGAATTAATCAACTAGAGGGAAAAACCAGTCATTTAGAGAATGAAATCCATGAACTAAAATTGAAATCTGTTATATTGAAAATTTATTATTTGATCTATTAAAATATGATTTACGATCATAAAGAGATCGTAGACGATTGAAAATTGTCGTTTACGATCGTAAAAATTCGAGCTAGGTATCCATTCATTGTACTGTTTACTTGTTTCACAACTGTCTCTTTTGGATCTCTCAGTTCGCCGTAAATATTTTAGACTTCTATAGCTTTTCAAAATTTATTCTCGTCTAAATCGATATGCTATTTTTTATCCAGTTTCTCCATCACACTATTCTTCCCTACGCCTTCATCACTCTAAATATGTCCGTATTCTACTTCTTGTTACTGGTTTCTCTCCTCAAACAGTTTCTCCATCGTCTTTTTCCATTCTACTAGCACTGAGCGTAAGAAATTGACATATGGTCTAGCCTCTGAAAAGTATCTTAAAGAGTGAAACATTCTGTTTCAAAATACGATTTTATTAAGTTTTCAGGTTAGAAGAGCGAAAGTGTATAAAAAAACAATACACAAAGTAGCAAGAGATTTGTCAAAATATGGAGCTTTCTGTGATCTATGCAATAAAGTTGAAACTACAGTTTAGGCTTTTTCGTCAAACGAGAAAATCTATTTATTTTATGGAACTTTTCTAGCACAGTATAATTGTCATGAAAACTACTTTTATAAATTTCGATAAGGACAACTACTTCAGTTCCGGCTACTAAAACATTGAATTGTTGAACTGGTACTGATACTAACATTGAATTGTTGAACTGGTTGTGACGGATCCAGAAGATAGAAGCGCTGATTCCTATGACATATTGTTTGCAGCAGAGGTCCAGAATATACTCGTTTGCTTCGACGGAGGAAATTCCGGGGGAACGTCCGGGAAAAATTCTTTAATTTTTCAGAAAAAGTATAGCAAAAACTGCCGAAGGAAATATTTGGACACTAATGAGAAATTTTTTAGAAATTATCCCGTCGGGAGAAGTTCATCATTGTGACGGGTAGATTCGGCGCCTTAGATTTTCCGTTAAAGTTCCCTTGTACGAAATGAATTGATGAATTATTTGAGAAACTCTCCTCTTCAGTTGAGTCAATTAGACAACTTCGATTGTAGTCAATAAGAACAATTTTTTGAACAAACTATAGTATTCAGACTGTAAACTTAGTCTACTGGAAATCATATGAAATGTAAATTATCCAAAAAGAAAATGAAGTTTCAAAAAACAATGTTTCCACTATTTAGTTCGAAAATTCGTTTATTTACAATAGAAATGGCATTCTATCTCCTACTTGAAATGGCTCAAAATCACTATTTTTCGTCGTTGTTTGTGATGCAAACTGATGTTGAATTGGTGCAATTTCTGTCTCATAATTTGGAAATACAAAATAAACAATTGATATTCTGTCACTTTTATCATTATTTGTGTTCTGAATTACTCGATGTTTTGTACTTGGATAATAATAATTAGACCAAACCTCCATTAGATCACCGCAATTGACTAAAATTGAATCATCCGTTGAGGGTGCTGCTATCCACGTGTTTGTATTTTGATTATAAATTTCTAAACCCGATTCTCGATCTTGACATAATAATGTTAATGTTGTCAAATCACAATGAACCGGAAAACGAAGCCTAAAACAAAAATTGGGAATCTTAGCAGAAAGATATTTACTAGCGATCACTCAGGCATCTGTGAAGACTACAACATCGGGTAAAATGAGTTGAAATTTTGAGAGTAAATCGATTTCAAGAACAGATAAAAACAACTGTATTCCATAATTAACAGGTGGGCCCATAAAGAATTGCGCTGTTAGTATTTTAAAAAAATTTCTCCTCCTTACACTTGGTTGAGCTAGTGTTTTTACCAAAAGATTTCACGTTGAATTCTCTGCAAAAAAACGTATTGACTGTTTTATTGCAAAATCCGAATGTGAAAAATGCCATGAGAAGATGTGAGAAGCACAAAAATGTAGAAAAATAAACGTGGTTAACAGATTTTTTTAGTATTATCTGCTAAAAGTTTATGAGAGAGGAAAGCTGAAGTAGCCACCGTGTATGCCGCAAAAAGGTCTATTTTTCGTATATTATTTAAATAATTTTCAGTTAGAATTGAGGGCGCAAGAATTTCATTATTTTTTGCCAATAATTTGAGCCTTCCAATAAAACAAATAAACCTTAGTCAAACTTGATACATTCAGGTTGATTTTTGTTAATTTTGAAAACAAATAATTAGTCGTTATGAACGGATCTCTAAGATTTGAAAAACAAATTTGGTTTGTTCTACCGTGAAAAGAAAAAGGTAACAACTTTTCCTATTTTCACTTGATTGAAAATACGTTTATTTTATCAACATTTTTGTGCTTCTCACATTTTTTCATGGCATTTTCTACCTTCGGATTTTACAATAAAACAGTCAATACATTTTTTGTAGAGAATTCAACGGGGAATCTTTTGGTATAAAAACAGCTCAATCAAGTGTAAGGAGAAGGATAAAATTTGAAAATACTAACAGCGCAATTCTTTATGGGTCACCCGTTAGATTTATATTTACTGATAGTACTATTTACATCTGTTCACTGGTTGTCTTTGTTTTTGTTTCTAATTTTGGATAATATTTAATTTCCATGTTATTATCATGTTTTGAATGTTGTTTAATAAATATTGATGGATCTTCTAAATTTAAATATTTTGCTAAAGACCATAATAAATCTGTTGATGTTTTTTGACATTTTAACCAATAATCTAGCATAATACGTTTAAATTCTGAATTCATTGGTGGCCATTTATTTATCTGATTATATTGATTTTTAATTTTTTCTAATTGTTTTTCATCATTATCATAGAGTTGTTGAAAATAATCTTGTTTTAATGAATATGGTTGTTCAATGTCACGACAAATACTATAAGCTTCAATTTTATCATCGACACATGCAGATGTAAATTTATAATAACCACGATGACAATTTGATGTTAATAAATTTTTAGATTTTAATTCTTCTGATTGTGAAAATAGCCATCGAGATTGTAAGAGTGTTTCTTCAACTAACAACGGTGTTACATGACTATTTTTAATATAAACAAAACCTGAAAATAAAAAGAAACACAAATCTACAAATATTCAAAAAGTAAAAATAGATTTTTTAATTTTAATTAACTGAAAAAAAAATTAGCTACTATTTCTACTGCGAACATACAATTCACCTTATTTGCTTATGATCGTTTTATTTACCATATTGTCGAAGAGCTTCGGAAAATAATTTAGATGCTTTAATCATCGATGAAGATGGATGTTGTTCGAAAGAGGAAGAACAATTCATTAATGCAGAAACATCAACAACTGGTATCGATGTGGTTAATGAAGATGAGCGTTGTTGACTTAATCGTTGAAATAACGATATTTTTAGAATATGTCGAAACATTCTTTAATTCAATCTAAAAAGACAAGCTAACTTTCTGTTAGTTGAAGATTCTTTTGAATGAAAGGTTTATATACTGTGATGTGATTATTTTTGACTTTTTCTTTGAGTATATATATATGAACCAATAGAAAAATGGGATTTGTTGTTTTTCAAGTTAATAACTGAAACAATATTTTATGTTTTTCTATTATTTTTATGATAAATTGTTACTTACGAGTGTCTCCATTCACTTCTTAAATGATCAGGAATCTGATAAAATCTCACTATATGCATCGTATCAAGAATGAAACGTTACATATAGATCACTAGTTTTTAACGATTTAAACAATGCGAAAACCAATAGCTTATAAAGTACGATTTTGAAAGGTGTTATAGTATAGTTTTATTAATACTTTTGGACTTTTCTACTAATAGCAGGAAAGAACATGTAAAGTTAGATGTATTTCTCCCCGCTACAAAAGTCAGATTTTATTAAAACGAGAAAAATCTGAAAGACGATTTGTCATTTATCTTGGACTCAAAAATTCATAATCAGAGCTCAAAGCGCTAGATTATTAGGACTTTAATTCATCTCTAAGCATCATGATAATAAAATACTTCGTTCAAACAATCCTCCACCACTGTTTTAAGGCTAGTATTGTCACTTGCATGACTAACCTTAATCACAATTTATTCTTCATTACGTTTCAAGACAAAAAAAACGCAAGTGAATATTCAGAAAAAAGAAAAAGATCCAAATAGATGATACACATGACAATAACTACAAAAAAATAAATAAGTTAAATTATCATGCATTTTATCTGACAACAAAATTATTTGAGTAAAAAAGTTATTTATTATTGCAACAAAGATGAAAAAAATTTGAGTAGAAAATTATCTGAACAACGACTTATTTCGTTAATTTTCGATGATCATTTCAAACAGAATACTATAATGCCACTATAATCAACGTTTTCTGTACTTGCTTAACACAAGGAAAATAATGTAAAAACACCCTTACAACGTGGACTAGTAATGTGACAATTGTCCTAGAACAAACAAATAATAAAAAGATAGAACCAAGATAGCACGAAACAACAATTCTACACATCGTTAAGTACAATAGAGAAGAAGAGTGATGTTTGATTTAGGGAAAAGTTACCATTCCCGTCACCATTCCCTTTCTAATTTAAGGCTATGTTTTCCAGATTTACTTTGGTTTTGCAGTGATCTGGGTTATATTCAACTTAGCTTTGGGGGGTCAAGGGCGCTGTGACTAGCATATGTGAGATCATAGTGTCGCACCACACGGGTTGGGTTAGAGAGCGACTTAACAAGTGTTGGTTGTAAACGCAGGATCAGATTCGTTCCCTCAAACAGCTGTATTTGATTCTCATCTGCTTGGAATTTAAAAAATATTTTAATAGACGTACTAAGACCTCTCCAAAAATTTCACTTACTCAAGGAACAAGCACTTGTATCTAAGAATCAAAATATTTTTTATGTTCATCATTGTTTTTTAATCCTTTGAGCCAATCTTCTTGTGTAAATGATTTATCTAAATCTTCATGTTTAAAATCATTTAGATCATGACAAACTATATCATCGTCTTCTTCTGATATTTTATCAATATTTTCATTCTCATTCTGATTGTCTGGTTGTTGTTCCTCATCTAGATTATCAAACAAACGTTGTTTCATTAGGGATGCATTCAAATGTGATCCATTTTGACTTTGATTTCCACTATCACCATTATTTGTTGTGTTACTCGTTGATGACGATGACGCAGAATCAGAACTTAATGTAAACGATCGAATCATCATTGAATCAAAATCCCCTAGTAGTTCAGTTTGATTTGTTACTAAAATGAAAAATCGAAACTCATAAATTTATCAGTGACATGAGAGACCATTCGCCTAATTTCAGACTTTGAAACAAATAACCATAATTTAGAAAAAAAATATGTATAAAAATGTGTCTTCCATTCATAATTTTATTTTATACTTCATGTTTATTGATCAAGTATGTATGAACTAATAAATGTTTCTTTTTTGGGAATCATGATCCGATTAGAGTATGAGAATATGATTAACTGTGAACAGTGATTTAACTCATAGTACTCTGAAATAAATAAGGCACTTACAATCTCGTCTGTTCAATGGTGTCGCCTTCAAATCATACCATGGACTAATATTGGACGAAGCAGTAAAATAACCTGAAGATAGAAAGATAAATCAAATAAGACCTGTTTAGAATATGCTGCTTTATTCTGCTTCTCAATCGTTTTAGTAGATATCCACATAGCTATAAGGAGCGAAATTATAACTTAAAATGATTATTGTGTGAGGTCAATATATCCGAAAGTATCACATAACCAATGTAATACTTTTTTCTTGTGGACCTTCAGATTTTCTCTACCAGTCAATGAACTTTGACATTGTGAAAACACAGTCAAATACCTATGATTGGAACAAACGTATTATTTATGTTTATGATGCCCTAGTTACTAGTATGCTAATCAGAAACAAGACAACAATCCATTATTACTAACCATTGTTAACAACAAATGTTACTTGTGGTACTTGTGCTGGTGTGGGCAAATGTAAATGACGGTGACAAAAATCGTCTGCTGCTTGCTGATAACGTTGTTGTAACTTTTTATTACTTAAAACGAAAACTAACACAATATTTGTAAGTTAATTCTATTAATCTATGATTAACCTTACAATATCGTAGCATCTATTTGTAATACATTTTCACTGATGCTGGCTGGATTGATCACAGCACGTTCTTCAGCTGGTAATTCAAACACATTGCTCTTCTAAAATCAGAATTGCAGTTTTTATACAGTAAACGATTTGGCATCCAAAACATGCGCTTTGTAAAAGTCAACATACTTTTTCGTCACCAGTGGTGGCTTGTTTGAATATTGATGGACTGGCTAATCTCTCTTTCAGATGACACGACGATGGTGGATCAAATGGGTTATTGACTATTCGTACCTGTGGCGTTGAACAAAATTGTTGGCGATTGAGATCGGTTAAACATACTAGTGGTGATGGAGATAAACTGTTGCTGTACAGACTTTCAAAAGCATTAGGTGTAACAGTACTAATGGGGGCAATAGTGTCTTCAGGTATCTCGTTCATCCATGATCGATATTTTCCTTTTGGTGTTGAATGATAATCACCATCGATTCTAGATGGCGGGGGAGAACTGTTGCTATTACAAACGCCATCGCCAACATTCGGCGAGGTGAGTGCGGACAGCATGCGAAAAATAACTCTAAAACAGAATAAATACAAAATTTCCGTACAACAGTTGAAATTCAATTTTTTCCAATTCGAATTCTTTACAATGGAAATCAAATAAGACTTCTACCTGACTATTTCTCAATATAAAACTCTGGAGATATGCGCTATAGAAAGTCGCTAGTGAAATTTGGAAATGACTATCCAAGCAGACACATTCAGAGATCTGAAAAATTACTAAGAGTGGTGGGCGTAAACGAAGTCAGACCGAAATTTGTCGATTCCTACAAATCTCTAGACTGCCCAGAACAGGCAATTTCAAAGCCACTATTTACAGAAAAGAAGCTAATTAAGTACAAATTCAGGACCAGAGAAAAACCTTGATTCGCTGTTTTGTTTAATGAAAAACGTGTTCAGAAAACATAAAGAACAAAACCGTGCAACAAATCAGAAATTTTAACAACAAACCAGAATATATGAAAATAAGTCCTCAATTGCTTACGCATCTATTTAATCTGACATGACTGAAAGGGTGATATGAAATAGTTGGCTGGCTTCGTTGCTCCAACCTTTCATTGAAGATTATTATCTAGAAACTACAAAACTATTCGTAAACATTCTCATATAACATTTCTGTAATAGAGAGCAAAAGAAAGCAAAGAAGTTTTTGTACATCCTTTCAAAAGTCGTACAGCAGAAACTGCCCATGTTTTCGATTGCGGTAAGCTTGTGCCGCACAACTGTGCAGTATTTCTAATGAGAATTTTCAGCAAAGTGGTTTTCCACAGTTTACCGCTGCATTTTCCATGTTTTTCTTGCTAAAAACACAATGGAAATCGAAGTTTCAAAGTGGAAAACCACTTTACTCTCATGGAGACCACCAATCATTGTGCGATCACAATTGTCGCAAATGCTCACAATCGCGTTCGTGACAACGCAGATACCCTGTTGCAATCACAATTGTCGCAAATGCTCACAATCGCGTTCGTGACAACGCAGATACCCTGTTGCAATCACAATTGTGATCGAGGATGTTCCATAAAAATTCTTAAGTGCTCGACTTAAGTGTATAAAATTAACACATACGTGTACAAAACGGAGACTTCAGTCTTACTTAGTTAATTCGACCACTTAAATCAGACTTAATTCTTCGTTCTGTACACTTACGTGTTAACTTTATACACTTAAGTCGAGCACTTTAGAATTGTTATGAAACACCCTCCTGGTCGCAACATAATATAATCATAACATCAACAGTGCAAGTTTTTTCACTTGTACAATATTGCGCCGTAAGCATTAAAAAATCGACGATATGGATAGTTTCCAAGAGCGAATCGTAAGTACGAACAATAATATGCACTAGTGCACTTTTCCTTTCTCCGAGAAGGAGCTAATTCATTCAGTCTGTTGGATAGCATTCTTTTTTACATTTTGGAATTTTTCAAGTGTTCAATGAATAATGGTGAACAAAAAGTGAACCTCCATACGTCTTATTAATAATTAACAAAAGAAAAGATGGCTGTTTCTTCTCAGCATCAACATTATGTTATAATCAATTCAGAGAGAAATACAAGGAATGGAAAGGAGAACAGTAGAAAAAAATTAGTCACGTTCGTCTTTGACAGAGAGACAGCTTTAAAAATTTCTTAAGAGTCTTATTCAAGGTGTATTCAGTATCTTTTGCTGCTTTTCTAATATAGCTTGCGGATGTCCTTCCAAGAAGATGCTTATGCAAGGAGAAGAATATTTATTTGTTCTGGGCATAGATGTCCTTATAGTGAAAAAGTTAAGTGTTGTATGAAAAGATAACTTTGCTCTTTGTTTTTTATCAATTACGTCACTTAATATTTATTCTTTAAAGGTGGATACTAAAAACATACGAAAAAAGTACAGTGACAACATTTCTTTTTGTGTGCAGACGAAACCAATTACGAGTATGTAGAAGTCCTAAAAATTCAACTCGAGTTTTCACAGTAAAACAATTAGAACCGAATTTGCTTTTCGGTGAACCCGTCTTTCTGTTGAACTTATTCAGTCGACCGAAAGAAACTTTCAAAATACTTTTGTGACTATTGTTGACGAAGTTGCGGACAAACGTTTACGATGCTTTATTTTTTCTTTATCATTAATGATTTCAAAACATCCAAGAAATTATATGAGTAGCTGGAACTTCGATGATTGCTACGGTTATCATATGCAAAGTTCAAAATCTCTTTCTGTGTCCCGGTTTTCTAAAAGATGGAAGCTCTCCATTTGAAGGGAGAACTTTTGCAACCAATCTAGAAAGGTAGAGTAAAGAATTCTGTGGAAAATGATCCATCACCAAGCTCTAAAACGTCTGTCATTGACTAGTTATGATGATTAGAAAATGGACACAAGACATCCTTTTTTTTCACTTTAATTTGCTGGTCATCATGATTATTGCAGAATTTTTCCTCGTTCTTCTGCAATCTGTGAAATTTTTGTTATCGGGTTGTTTACCGTAGGTAAAAACATATGATTTTGGATGATAAGCGCAGAAATCTAGAAATTTTCTGCGGTTTATTTGTGTCAGCTCACTACTAATTGAGCATTGTGAAGATTATCAAAGCATTTCTCTGCAGATAGTCCAATGTAATTGATAAGAACTTTGTTAAACTAATCCAGCAGGTAAATTTTCAGATTAGCAGCAGATTAACTAAAAGACAACAACAATTCACGTTATTATTTTCAACTCATTTTTCGTTTCAGATTGTTGTTTTTGCCTCATCAAAGACTCATATAGTGGTTTACTATTCTTAGAAAATAAACAATAACAAAAAATTTATGTGTCTGTTGACATCGTGACATCGTGACAAACGTGATTATATAACAGGAACAATTTACTCATTTATTTTCTATTATTGTTTATCTCCACTTTAAATTATTTTCATTCAACAAAATGGTTCAAGGTGTTACAGAAAAATGTCCAGCATACAGTGCATTTTTTGGAGCTATGGGCGCAACTGCTGCCATTGTATTTAGCGGTACGTAAATATTAGAGGATAAAAAATGTTGTTTGACTCATCTAACCGAGTTTTGTACACCAAATGAGAATTGTGAACTCATGATCTTTCAGGCGTTCTATGATTTTTTTTAATTTTCTTATATACACGCACAGTAGTAAAAAAAATGTAATTATAATCTGAAAATCTTTTGATTGATGGTCACTAAACTCTTTCGCAAATTGTTAGAGAATGTTTCTACCATTAGAACAACGTACCTATTGTTAATCATGAATAGATTGATCGAAAAATATCTCTTAGTTCGTGTACTTATGATACATTGGAAAAATGTAGTCGATTTGCCGAAGGCTTCAGAAAAACTTAGACAAAATTTTCGAATTTCTCTTCGTTTATTGTAGAATTTTTGTTAACAATTTTGTCTCTTATTACTGAACTATTTAACATTCTACATTATAGACACCATTGTTTTTACAGATAGTCTGGTAGTGGTGGCAAGAATCCAAAAAAGCTGAAAAGATTCATGAGTTTTTTTTCTCCCTTCAAACGTGTCCAAAACGCGTTTAAACGACGAAATAATAGAAATTCGTTCAGTGGATAGTTGAAATGATATACGAAACGTGTTTCAACTATCGATCGAATGGATTTCTATTATTTCGTCGTTTAAATGTGTTTTGGACACCGTTTGAAAGGAAAAAAAGTAGCTCATGGATCGAAAACGTTAATTTGGATTTGAGTTTCTTAAAATTAAATGTATGCACTCAACTATCAACTATCATTATTTATTTAAATAAAATGTAAAACTTTCGATCGAAAAACATTGGAATTTTGCTAAACAATACACTTTTTTTTTGTTGACTTTTTTCAAATTTTCATTCAATCGCTTTCCATTTTTCCAATGTAATTGAACTACATGAAGTAAGAGATGTCTTTTACCATCCATGTGATAAATTTTTGTCGCCCACGCCATGTTCACAAGTGAATTTCAAATTGAAGATCTTAGGGAGTGAACGTTCGTAAATAAATATGTTCACGAATGAACGAAGTGGTTTGTTCATTATATATAATGCAGCTTAATTATTTTAAGAAATTCTCTGCAAAAGACATGTAGTTACACGAGTGTAACTGTTTTTTTCTCAACACATAAAAATACTTTACTATTTTTCCATTTCTAGCACTGGGTGCTGCTTATGGTACAGCAAAATCTGGTTGTGGTATATCAGCAATGGCTGTCATGAGACCAGAATTTATAATGAAATCGGTTATTCCAGTTGTAATGGCTGGTATTATCGCTATTTATGGTCTAGTCGTTGCGGTCCTAATTGCAAATAATATTCAAGGAGAAGGTTATGGACTATTCAAGTAATATATTGATCTATTCTTTTTTATTGCATATTGTTTATGTATTATTATGTGTGTTTTGTCTTCTAGAGCATTCTTGCAATTAGGAGCTGGTTTATCTGTTGGTTTGTCCGGTTTAGGTATGTGAACAGAAGTATTTTTATAAATAATAAGAGACTTAACATTTCTCTCCCATAGAGTAATCGTAATTTTCGTCTTGACACGAAAATAATACCGACAAGAATAAAAACATCTTTCTTTTTTGCAGCGGCTGGTTTTGCAATTGGAATTGTTGGAGATGCAGGAGTTCGTGGCACAGCTCAACAACCTCGGTAAAAGAGAAAAACGCTCAATTAAATCCTCGTTTTCTATCTTTATAAAATGAGTACTGAGTTCATATTGTTTTGGTCTTATTTAGATTATATGTTGGTATGATATTGATTCTTATTTTTGCTGAAGTATTAGGTTTATATGGTTTAATTGTGGCCTTGATATTGACAACGAAAAATCAACCTGGGTGTGATTAGAAAAAGAGAGAGAGAAAGATAGTCTTCTTCTTTGCATACATTTCAATCTTTTATTCTAAATGTTTTTAGAGTGCGTATTTTATTTTCAGTGTTGTTATCGTGTAATCCTTTTTCCCTTTATTTTTCACAAACGACAATAACTATCTTCTATATTCCATTCTGGACAAAATGATGTGCAATTCTCTTTTCTTTTTCGTTTCATTTGCTCTTCGTGAAACCATCTCGCCGTTATTTCTTGTTGTTTTATGTGCATTTATATATTTTCTTGTGTATTTTGACCTTTTCCTTGAAGAGACAACAACGATTTGTGGGCAGTATCGCATTCCCTTCTGTTTCCTATTTTAAATTATTTGTCAATGTTTTTGCTGTCTTCATTCATGTTTTATTTATATATACATACACAAACAAACAGGTTTCTCTCTCTTTTCTAACCGAAAAGAGTTTTGCCGGTACCGACAACTTTCAGGACGAAAATTTCAAATCACACACAAAGTAAATGTTCATTTAAGTTTATTCATATATCTCAAATGATGGATGTTTACAGAAATAATTGAGTATTCTAAAGTTCAGATGATTGCACTACACTGCTTGTATGAATAATTCTGTAAAATTGTTTACTAAGAGATGAGGAAAGAAATGTTCACGTGATATTTGTGAAATTTCATTTGGTGTATAGAGAAGAATTGCACAATGTACATGAGATAAAGAGACTATTTATAGCGTCAAAATGGTTTTTCAGTATGTTAAATGATGATGGAGAAAATTTGTTTCACATAATATGAAGTTTATGGTATTAATTTCTTAATTTTACAAATTATAACAATATTTTTATTAGATAAGTATCCAGTACAGTGAATTTTCTGAAAGCTTTTAGCTACAGTCTTCTTTTAATATTTGGATTTTTTTCACATTTTCTCTCTTCTGAGAGTGTAGGTTATTTGTTCCCAAACTTTATTTTCGCAAGTATAAAAGGTTTTATTCTTATCGTAGTTGACAATGTTTTCTCTCAAAAACCTTTGGTTGAAGAGTATTAAACTTTAGCGTAAGCTCTACACTTTTTGCTAGCTAAAAAAATGAAACTATCGCTTCGCGACTTTTGCCTGCATACACCAGATGCATTTTCTTAATTGCGTGTCATGCTTGTGTATCCATGATTTAGACTATCGTGTTTAAAAGAAAAACAGACAGATGACTCATTTTCTCTTGGTGGTTTAGCCATGATATGTGTACAGTCAATTACATCAATCACTCGAGAAAATTCTTTTTCATAAAAAAATTTGTTTGATTAAAGCCCACTCGGGGGGTTTGTCAGTAACAAAACGTTGTGAAGAGCTCGGGCTGGTCTTAAAGCGACGAAAACACATGTGGCTAGAGACTAACAGAGCCTTCTGATATATTTTTCTTTTCAAATTAATGGTCAGCGTCAAAAGTTCAAAATTCGAAAAGTCTAATTAACTTTGGTAAAGATGTTTTTCTAATCACAAATCTAGACCGAATATCAAAAATCGGGCTCTCTCTAACCGTAGCCTCTAGCCACGTGTGTCAGCTTCAATTTAAGACCTTCCCGAGCTTTCTGCGATGTTTCGTTACCAAGAAATCTTAGAGCTGAGAAATGATGTTACGTACGGTGAAAGTCGCTTTCGAGATATGACAGCGCCAGTATCTGATGCATGTTTGAGGGCTTCCAGCAAAACTCTGATAACTCTTGATTAGAACATCATTCAGAGCTGCGAGATATTTCATTTTGATCAGTCGCCATTGTATACTTTGTTTAAGAATCGTCAGGAGCAAACCAAACGGTTTATATATCATCAGGCACATAAATTAAACTCGTGCTTAGTTGAGCCTTCGATCAATCGTATTTTGATTTTTTAGTTAATTGGTTAAATTTATTTAAATTATTAATTAAATCAATCAAAGATTTAAATTTTTCACTTTTTGATTAGTCTGTACAACAGTGAATTTTGGATTTATTTCAGTGAAGTGAATTATTGGTTGTATTAAATCGATATAGGCTGGATCGATATTTTTTGGATTTTTTCATTTGAAATGGGATGTTTTAGCGTCCTGGACACCCAGAATGAATCAGGGACGGCAAACAAGAGCTTTGTTTGCTTTCTAAAGCCAAAGTTTTTCTTTTCTTTCTATCTGAACATGCTCAAAATACACAGTTGAGTGTTGTTTATACGTTCTGCTTGTCCAGGATGCTAAAATATCTCATTTCAAATGAAAAAATCCAAAAAATTCCAAGTAAAAAAAAGTCGGTATTTTCGGTATCGGTATATACCGAAGTTCGGTATTTTCGGTATTCGGTATACCGATACCGGTGCATACCTAGAATCAGTACCCCTTTCCAGCCGGCTGTTTCGAAAACACAGCAAAAAGTGTTGCCAAATGGCAACATCAGGCTGGAAAGGGGTACTATAGACATCAGTTAATGCCAAGGGGGAAAAAGCATACTTCTGTACTTCTGGTACTTCTCCGTACTTCTTGATACTTCTTCGTACTTCTTCGTACTTTTTTGTGAAGATGACGGAGAAGTACAAAAAAGTACGAAGAAGTATCAAGAAGTACGGAGAAGTACCAGAAGTACAGAAGTATGCTTTTTCCCCCTTGGTTAATGCACTGATTTCAATTGGATCACGTAATTCAGCGCCAGTACTATGATATTCAACATTACTTCGCCTGAAATCGACTTCATTTGCATTAATTAATACTTCCTTCAAACATTTGTGAAGAATTGTCTGCTCCGTCAAAGTGAAATATTACTCGGTTGGATCTGACAAAACTAAGTTCTTTGGATCTCTCTGAATCTGAGCATCATACACGCCTGAGAGCATTCAAGACTGTGCATCTATATCAATCAAAGCAATGCACAGTTAGAAAAGAGTTTTGGGTGGTGGTACATCTTCTCGTGGTAAGATAAATTTTTAACTGTTGTTATAATATACATTAATTATGGTGCATTCGTTTCTGAAAGTAGTTTTGCTTCTAGAAGCAAAACAACATTTTATTTTCATCATTCGATTCAAGTTTTTTTTCTTTTATTCTGTTTATTTTTTTAAAATGGTAATACTCTTTTAACGAAGAGAAAAAAGAGAGAGAAAAAATCCATAAACAAACAGAAAGAAAGCGAAAACTGACTCGTTAGTATAACTATCGATATCATCATCGTTCATGGAAATTTTATTTTATTCTTTGAAAACAGAAACGAACGTTATTTTACTTTTTCTGTCTCCTTCTCTCTCACGGTGAGAGAAAAGGAGACAGAAAAAAGTAAAATAATGTTCTTTTCTATGAAATGAACGTAAAGGCTTTTTACGTTTATTTCATTAAAAATAAGTCCTGTGAACGGATCCACAGAGCGAAGCTGATCAAAGAGTTAAATCGCTGTTACACCACAATACAGTATTTTCATGTTCTTTTTACTAATGTAGTGGATTAATATGTATCAAATATCAAGGGATATAGGGATATATAAGTTTAAGCTAATAAAATGTTAGAAACTTTTGAAAAAGTCACCTCGCCGTAGCCATTTTGGATCATGTCGGTCGTCAGTACCGAATTTTTTTTTCTATTTGCCTCCAGCGCTGACGTCATGTATTACTATTTGTTAAAGATATAAAATTCAGCAGGTATCGATTCAAATTTCTTAGAAATGAGCACGAGATCAAATTTCTCCAACTGACTGAGTCTAATTTCGCATTCCTCTGCTATCCATCATCTATCTAGTTGTGGATTTTCTCTAGCACATAGCTGCAAAGAAGGAAAGAAACAAGGCACACAGTCATTTATTTTTCCTTGGCTGTGTGACGCGCGAATCAGAATGACGGCTCACGAGCCGACGTCATGTTTTTGCGATAAAAGAAACGCGCGCATGCCGCACTCTCTCGATGGTATTGGTCTGCTGAAAGGTGAGTGACACTAAAGTGGAAAAAGAAAGCGTGATTTGTCATTTGCGATCATCAAAATAAAACATGAAAAATGACGCTTTTTTCTTAGATAAAATAAAATTTTACCTTTGTATTTCCAATCATTGCTGAAAAAAAGTAAAATTAATAAAACTCAATTCATATATCGGATTTTTCGATTTTTTAATTCGGATTTTAAATTAGATTTTTTCTCATTTAAACTCTCCAGTATACCTAGTTTTTCTAACATTTCCACTAACATTTTCAGGTTAATATGATGTGTACTTAGTCACCTTCTTGTACTACTATTAGTCTAAACATTTTTAATCTAGTCATAACTTTCTGCTTCTTGCAGAATTAAAATTTTGATACATTTTAATTTTTTTTTGATAAATTTAATTACAAATAACTGCTATTTATAGCTTCTTCGTGGCAAAGTAAGATTCTACATTTTTCTTCTATTTTATACTACCATCGCCTAGTTTTGAAGATGCAGCTCTTTACTACATTTTCTAACTCTGCTTACGATTGGGTGTTATTTTTAGTTCACAGTGAAATAAAATTTTCGATTTGCGCTTTTTTTTTGGTTTGACGCGCGAATATGTCATGTTAACTTATAATATTTCGTTTTTCTGTACCTTGGTGACCTCTATAAATTGTACTTCTTTTTCTTTACTTTAATTTTTTCTTTTCCTTTATCGTTCTTACAAATTGCAACAATGTTTTTTATCTCAGCTTTTCTTGCTATATACTATATTTTCTCCTATAGTTTTTTCCTACATCGCCCTCTAGAAGTTTCACTTAAATTTTCCCAAACAATTATTTTTTTTACATTCACGACGACGAAAGCACATATGTAATCGGACTAGGACAGAGTGTCGACTTTGATTTCGCATAGAAAAAGCTATACAGGTTGTCTGAGCAGCATGTGTTAAATTAAAACTAGTTAAGCCATTCTCCTGTTACCTGAATATCGTGTTAGGTTAACACTGTCCAAGTGTACAAGAGTTGAGCCGCTTTTTTTTGCGGTAAAAATGTAACGATAATTTATTTGTGGTGCCCATGTTGTCGAAACCGGATGAAAACCGC